CGGCGGGGAGGAGACACCCAGCTCCGCGCGGGGCGTTCACTGCTTATCTTGAGTCAACAGGAGAAAAGTCTGTGCTACGAAGGCTGAGCTCACTTCTTCCCGATTGCGATCCCCCACCTTGCAAAATGCAGCCCATCCACATGCCAGCGGGCCAGCTAGATTATTTTTTAAATGCCCTCAAGTGCAAATACCTGGTGCACAATTGATGTGTGAATACCACTGAATACTTTAATTTCCCAAAGGACGAGCGGAGAGGGGAGCGGAGAAACGCCCAGCAGCGCGCCGGGCAAGGGACCGTGACACATCGCAGCCTGGGTCACATCCTGCTCCTGACGGGCAGCTGCAAACCCCGAGGTACTGGGGATAGGGAAAGGCTCGTGCACAGATGGACGGGATGGGGGTGCTGCCCGGCGCCATGCGCTTTCCCAACGGAATAGATTTTCATGTGGCTTCTCTGGCTTAGCAGAGCAGTGGCGGCTCCTCCCCGAGCGTGGGGGGATTTGCAAAGCCGGTGGGTGGTTTTTCCCCTGCGTGTTTCTGAGCGAGCAGCAGCCGAAAGGCAGCATCTCCTGCCTCCACCTGCCAGAGCAATGGCTGCAGGAAGCGGCCGCCGCTGCTGTGAAAAGGAGAACGTCGAGCTCTCGGCGGGGTTTATTGTTAGGAGGAGTTTCAGACGCATCCTGCAGCGAGCGGCGGCATGACCCCGGCAGCTGCCTGTCCCCCGGGGCGGGCAGAGGGGCAGGAAGCCGGGTTGAGCTTGGCGAGGATGTTGGTCGAGCTGCTTTCCTGCTGCACGACCTCCTCCGCCAGGGGAAAAAAAAAAAAAATAAAAAAAAAACAGAGGTCAACAAACTTCAGAGCCCGGCTTTACAGGACATGAGACCTCCGGCCGGCTGCCAGCGGAGCTCAGCCCCGTGTGCCTGCTCTTTCCAGAGCCTGTATGCTCTTTTTTGAGGAAAAAATCAGTCTCCTGGGGATGCTGTCCTCAGTAACAAGCACGATGCTGTCCCTGTGGCAAGGAGGGAGAGCGAGCAACCCGGCTCAGCCGCCCTGGGAATATTTGCAATGCATGGGGTAGCCGGGGACTCTGGTCTCGTCGGCATTTTCTGCAGCTTCTGGATGTTGTTACTCACTTTTAGGGACTTCCAGGCAAAGTAAGACCACACAGACCATCAGCTGGTTAAAATTCTCTGCCAGGATTATACTCATTACCCAATAACCATCGAGACGTGGATCTCTCTCCACCTACGATGGACCAGGCTCCTGGGCTGGAAGGGTTTGATATTGATTTCTTTAGAAACCCTGACGGTGGGGATGAAGAGGCTCCTAACACACCCATGCGATTTCAGCGTCTTCTCCACTGCTGAGCCCTGTGCAGCAGCTGACCCCACTGCAGGCAAAGGACGCGAGCTCCGCAGGCAGGAGAAAAACCCTGGTGAAAGCCAGTGCCCCCCCTGTCCTGCTGGGAACATCCCCAGCCCTGCCCCAGCATGTCTCACAGGGCTGCCCACCATCTATCTCTAAATCCATGTCCGTGTGTCCTTCCTCCCTTACTTGGCTGTAGAGGGGTGTATGAACAGCCCCGCTGCTGCTTTTCCTTCCCTCCTGCAACCCTGGGAAGCGGACGGACTGAATTCGAACCGGAGAGGCATCAGCCAGGTGAGCAAGGCAGGGGCACACAGCACCTTCATCCTCATCCTCCTCCTCCTGCCCCCGGCCCCTCTGCTTCCCCAGGACACAGAACCCAGCGAGGTTTTTGCAGGCCAACAGCGAGGTGCTGGGTTGTTCTGCACATTCAATCTGCAAAGCCACCTCGCTTGGTGACATGTTGGCTCTGTGAGGATGGTCCTCTCCTGCCACAAACAGCCCAGTTTTGGTTGGAAACACCTTAGAGCTGACGGGTACCATGAAGGACATGGGTACCATGAGGATGCACAACCAGCTCAGAGCTATTTCCAGGCCACCCTGGGACTATGTTCCTAGAAAGAGGAGCATCCCAGAGAGGGACCCAGGGGCTGGTCCAGGCTCCTGGGAAAAGCCAGGCCATAAGCTCAGGTGGCATCACAGCAGCAGGACACGATGGAGACATCTCTTACCTGGTGGTAGTGTCAAACTCGAAGGGAAAAATGATGTCGCTGCTGTTGCAGATCTGGCAGATGAAGCCTCGCTGGGTGCACAGGTCACAGTTGTAGACGTGATGGGAAGCAAACTGGAGCAGCGACTGCAGGAAGGTCTCAAAGACGCCGTCGGCTATCTGCAGGGCAGAGATACGTCAGGCAGGCGTGGAGCCTGTCTCCCGTCGGCTTTGCACTGTGCAAAATCCCCATCACAGCCATGTTTTGGTTGGACGTGATGATCTTAAAGGTCTTTTCCAACCTAAACGATTCTGTGATTCATGCTGCCACATGAAGACAAGGCTGTCCTCCAAAAACAACCCCCACCCCATGTGCCTGGGTTGCAAGGGGACCCCAGAGAGCACCAGCACCCACAACCTGCCAGGATGGGGCTCCTGGCTTTGGATTCGATGTGAAATCCAACCGCCGATCACCCCCAACATTATTTGCAAGAGATACAAGTTTGCATGGCGATGCACCACCAGCAATGCTGGCTTACAGAGGTGAACATTTATCCTGCACCATCTCCATGGTTTTTTGGAGGATACAGGCCTGAACCAATTACTTTGACAAATTAAAATAAAGGCAATTATTTGCCTTTAAGCTGGTGTGCAAGCTTGTGGAGTGCACGCGGTGGATGAATGCAAGGCAAAAGGAAAATGAAATTGTTTGATGATGATGATGATGATGTGCCACGCTCAACAGAAACGGGGATGTTTTCATTGGCAAAACCCCTAGGACCACGCAAAGCTCTCACCTGCCTGAGATCAGCAACGCTGTATTTGTGGGGACACTCCAAGAGGTAGTGCCTGTGATCAAGCCTGCAAAGAAGCACAGAGGGAGGTGGTAGATGGTTTGCACCGCACCTGCGATAGCTGTGGAGCAACGGGGAGCCTGGATGACGCAGGCTCTGAAGAAAATCACCACAGACCTGATTTTTGCATTGTGCCCCACATCCCAAATCCTGGAATTTGTGTGGAGGATTTCAAAGGGGAGAAAAAGAAAATAAATCTCTCATCTATTTTCCCAGGTGTTTCCTGTCCAGCCAGAAGCTCCTTGGGCAGGAAGGTGTTTCCTGAGTAACATATCAATGTGTCAACCCAGCCAACAGACGGGTAACTCCTTAGAGGAGATGACATGGAGCTTAAAACAGCCCATGCCTTGGCAACATCGCTCCCCACTCCAACAGCAAGCTATGAGGAGGCCCAGGAGACCATCGGGGTGCAAGGAGGGGGATGCAGGCATAATGCCACCGAGTGAGGGACCTCACCGCTTGCTCAGCTCCTTCAGGGCCCCGCTGCGGCACATGATGAGATAATCTCCCAGCAGCTTCAGCTGTTCCCTGCTCTGGCGGATCCGTCCCATCCTCTCCACATGGTCGTAGAGGCTCTCGTTGACCAGCTTCAGGTCGATCAGCGGCTGGTTACGGATCTGGGTGAGGAACTTCAAAGCTTGCTGGCAAACCTGGGGCAAAGAGAGGCAGGAGGTGGGCATGCACCAAGGAGCAGTTCGGGAGGCTTGGAGGGAGGTCTAGGGTGAACATCTCCACCTCTGCTGATGGTGGAAACGTTCAGAGGGACCTTCAGGAAGCGCAGGCAGATGCAGGAGCATTTTCCTGCTCTCGGCACCAACCGAACCCAGACTTACCCCTCGTTTTGTCAGATCCCAGTTGTGGATCAGGCGTGAGGGAATCACTGTCTCCTCATCCCGGTGGCAGCTGTCGCAGTAGTAGAGACCAGAGAAGGCGCAGAGCTTGGGCTTCGCGAAGGAGAAGCCGATCTGCCTGGAGCAGCCTGCAGGGAGCAGGAGGGAGGCGATAAGAAAGGACCTGGGCTGCCCCAAAAACCTGTTCCTATCACCGTCAGGACAGGGGTAGAAACTTTTGGGAGGTGGGGAATGGAGCAAGAAAGTTTTTGGAAGGGCTGGAGATCAGCTAAAGCACTTGTAGGACATTTGGTGAGAGGTCCCCAGTCCCTTCCCTGTGGATTTAAGACCACGATGGTCCAACAGGAGCTGCTTCCTTTTTTCCTCCATAAAAAAGGAGTCTGGGCTATCCCTGAACCCACTTTTATCCATTGAGTGATTCAACTGTTTATTTTTTTTTTTTTTTTAGGAAAGCAAATTCTGGAAACATCCCTGTGGTTTACAAAGAACCTAACCCCCCCCTGCCTGCCCCATCACCTCCTCCCGTAGCTTTGCCCCGTTTTGCCTTCACTCAGCCCTTCTCTTGCCCGCTGCAGGGTACCAAAACCACATCTGCAAGGGCTCCTCGTCTGCAAGGGATGAGGTCGGCATGGATTTTAAGCCAAAAAAATCCTTTATTATAGTGGTGGGTAACCCAGGAGGAGCTCAGCTTGGGTCCTGGGGGAAATCTGCAGGGTTTTTATAGCTACTTGAGATGTGAGCGCATCTCATTTGGAGTTGGGAAGGCAGGAGAACTCTTCATGCTGTTTTTAATGGGTTCAGTTCTCTAAAATTGAGCAAGCACAAGCGAGCCTCTGCCATCCTCAGGGGACGCTTTGCTACCTCACCCTTCACACTTTAGGGCAGCTGGAGTGCATCCCAAAAAAAAATATTCATGGAGGTCAGATGTTGCGCTCTCAATAAATTAAAAAAAAAAAAAAAAAAAGCTTTTATCGCTTATTATGCTCTGGGGTGTAAGCAAACCCCTCCTGCACCAGGCTGGGAGGGAGGTGAAAGAGGGGCAGGCAGCCCCCTAAGAAAACCTACACATAAAAACTGGGAATGTGTCTTTTCAGCTTGCTGCTTCCATCTGTTGGTAGGTGGAAGATGCAGGACAGAGCCTGGAGGGGAAGGTAGAGACCAAATAGAATGGAAAAAATATGTGTAAAAAAGAAGAGAGATTAAAAAGAAAAAAAAAAAACCGCTGGAGGGTACAAGAAGTAGAACTGAAGCAGGAGAGAAATCTGAAGTTTAATTAACTTACCAAGGTAAAGAGCAAATTATACCTCCCGTGGAGGTCAGCAAGCGTTATCCTATTAAACCAGCATCGCCCCACGTGCTGCGCAAGCTTAAATGAACGTTTTGCAAAATCAGCTTGTCACACCCATCGCAAATTCGCTCCTGTGCTGCATTACCGGATAAACAGCATTTGCCCTTGACTGCACTTTCCCTGCAAGCTGGGGCCACAAAATGCCCAGGAAGAGAGTCCTGGGCCTCTTGGTCCACCTATGGTTGACTTCAAGCCAAGACCCACCTCTGTCTATGCCATAAGCAACTTAAACAGGAGCCCACTAGCAGCCCAGTTGGACCCACGCTGGGGTGGGATGGAGATTCAGCGTGGGGGGACTCACCCTGCGCACACAGACCACCAAAGGTGCCACTGATTTGGGGTGTGAAACCCTACCGAAGGGCTACAGTGCTACCTGGGGTTTGGATGGGGAAACCAGCAGCTGGCCTGCAACTGGTTGGCAGGACTCAGGGCACCTCTGTCACCGCATTAACATGACATCATCCTCCAAGGCAGAGCTGGGTTTCTTGTTCTCAGACAAGCCAACATATACCTGCACAGATGAAGCTCTGCGAGTCCAGGCCCTTCTCTGTGGGGATGGCCACCAGGTATTGCAGTAAGAAGCCATTTTCCGTCACGATGTTCTTCAGGATGACCTGGGAGTGCCCATCCAAGCTGCCGCCCAGCGTCAGCGCCTCCTCTGCGCTCTCCAGGTAGGACATGAGCACCCCTCGGACCAGCTCCCTCCATGAGGCCGCTTCTTCTGCATTCTCAGCCTGCAGCTTCAGGACAGCTTTGGAGGTGATCACCTTGAAGAACGCAGGTCCCCCAAGGCTCGTGTCTGGAAGGATGTCCTGGATGGTCTCTATACCGTAACTGTTGCTTAAAATTTTATCATTGTTTCTGATTTTAAAGCACTTTAAAGTTTCTAGAGACAGGGAAAAAATAAAAGGGACCCAGGTTTTGTCTATGTCCACGTACAGAACAGCCTCTTTTATTGCATCCAGCTCTGGTTCATGAGCTGAAGTCCAGTCAAAGCTGTTCCCAGGCATGTCGCTGTACTGGAGAAAAGCAGCAGAGTCGCTCTGGATGGGTTGGCCTTCACCACTGTCTTCTGGATACTCCAGCGTCTCCCACTCCTCCTCCTCCAGCTGAGGCCGCCACTTCTGCAGCGCCTCACGGATCCTGTCCAACCAGTCCTCGGCCTCATCTCGAGAAGGAGCTCGTAGGTAGAGTTTTTTCCCCAGGAAAACCAGCTCGAAACGGCCATCCGAGTGCGTCAGTGCCAGTGACTCGCACCGCAGCAGGGAATAGCTCTCAACGCAGATGCGGTCCTCGTGGTCCAGGAAGAGACGGAGTTCCAGTGGCGACAGCTCGCAGGAAAACTCCTTCCAAATCCCCATGGCTCCTCTCCGCTCCAGGCTGCCCAGCTTCAGGAGCCCTCGGAAAGGGTTGGAAAGACCTGGGGCAAAAGCAATTGTCTTAGTTTAACCGAAAAAGGAGAAGCTGGTGGAGAGAGAAAAGCCAACGGGTGGCTCACAGTGGACCACGGGATGGGGCAGGAGTTTACAGGACCTTGGTCTCCATAATCTGGCTGCACTCATTTGGGTTTTGAGGCTGAGAACAAGTGGGACAGCATAAAGGAAACGTGCCCCGCAGAGCTGACAGAGACATGGGGACAGGGACACCCAGCATACCTCCCCTCCTCCTAAAACATTTCCCTCCAGAGCTATCATGGGCTCAGCAACACCAAGGGAAACTGCCCCACGGTCTTCTGGAGCTTTTAGTGCTGCCATCAGCTCAGCAATGGCAAATTGTGCTTCCCAAACTGCCCATCACCCGCAACACCCCCCCCAGCTCCTGAGCACTGCCCAACATAGACACCTGGTGAAAGCAGGAGAGGGGAGGGCGGCACGTACCCATCTGCCTGCGATGCACAACGCTGAAGCCTTTTTGTTCCCGTTCAGGTGACGTTTTGGGCTTCCCGCTCTCCGAGGATGGCACCGACAGCCTTTCCAAGTCAAGGGCGCTAATGAGCCCCAGGGCTGGACACTCGCCAGCCCCCTCCGGCCCAAAGCCATTGGTGTCAGCTGTGCTTTCGCTGCTCTCTCCTGGAGAAGGCCTGTAGAAATCATCTTCTGAGATCCAGCTCTTTCTTTTCTGTTAAGAAAAAAAATTAATTATCAAATGTATTGGACACTGTTGCACCCCTCAAACGCATATGTCTGCAGCGACCCCTCCATGGGAGCTGCTCCCACGCAGACTGAATCCCAGGCAGTGATGCTGGCCGTCCCCATGCGGATGGCTCCCCTGCTCCCTCCGCTCAGGGAAAGCTCCATGGGACTGTGTCAGCAGCTGGCAAATACTGGGATTATATTATATTCTCTCCCCCTAAAATCATCGAGGGGCTCAGAGGGAGAACACGTTCCCTGCAGTAACCACACACAAGATATTTGGTCCAGGAAATATTTCTGACAGAGGGTGAGAAACCAGCCCTGCCGTGGAAAGGTACGAGCTTGCCTGGAGCTGTAGCACCATCCTTGTTCCAGGAAGAATAGAGATGGGGCAGGTACAGAGATGTCTAGGATGAAATAGAGACCTATGGCTTACAAGCAGATGATACAGACATCAGGCCTGATCGGCACAGGCAAAAAGGAAGGCAGGGAAGGCAGAGGAAACCTTTGTTTCCATAGGTCAGGAGGGGATGAGACCCACAAGTGGAAGAAAGCTTGTTAAGCTGGAAGAAAACATGGCTGTGACTGCTGGGAGTTTTTCTGGCTCCAAGAATGAGGGAGGTTCTGGAACAAGGTTCCTGAGCAAACACCAGGAGCAAAACACGACCCAGCTCAGTGTTCTGGCAAAAGGCAGCAGCTTCCCTTGACTCAGCGCATCCCTTCTGGGGCTGCATCCCCCCAGGAACAACCTCTCGACTACCCTACCCTGCTTTCCAAGAGCCTTTTATTCTGAACAACGAACTAAATGACAGCAGAAGAGCCATCACCACCCTGCAGCGAGGATCATGCTCCCAGCACACAGGCAGGCTCGGCTTATTCCTGGACCAGGAACGCAGGTTGCCCCGTGAGTCACACGAAAGCAGGGGGGGAATTTCCTGTTGACACTGTATGTTATACATAGATTAGGTCAAACTGGCCCAGTGCCATGAGGAAGCAGTGGAAACGGGATAACTGGGAGGGAGCTGAAAGGAGCAGGGACCAAAAAGAGAAATCATTTAGGGGGTTATGAAGTATATCCTAACCTCACTGGGATGGAAATGATGGGAACCAGGGTGGAAATGATGGGAACCAGGATGGAAAAGTCAGTAACAAATTAGACAGAGGACGAGGCTGTTCAAAGAGTTTCCTAAAAGCAAAAGCAAGTGGATCAACTCCTCAGCGGCAGCAGGGGAAATCCACCAGTGTTGCCTAAGCACCAGGGAACACCATCCTCCCCTGGGAACAGATGTGTTGTGTGAGTATTTCTCCACTGGAAAACTGCAATTTGTTTCCCGTCCAGTCAATCCTTTTCCCTCCTCTTCCATGGACCATAAACAAAGAAAAGTCCCCATAAGAAGTCTGACTCTTGGGCTGTTTTATCAGCTTGCACACAGCCGATGGCCAGGTTTGTGCAAGAGCTCATCACTCTTCAGATATCGCTAACAAAACCAAAACCTTCCTCTTGCAGCTGCTCTTGGTGAGGAAGGACTGGCAGGCCAGACAGGGTTTCAAAAGCTTTGGTGCCTCTTTTACCAGGGAATATCGACTCTGACCCAATTTCTCCCAGGGCAGCTGCACAGACACAGTTCCATGGGGTCCAGGAAGACGCTCGTGGAGTAGGGAGCATCGCTTACACCCTACTTGCTGTTGGAAAACTGGAAGCAGCGGGGAAGATGAGAGTTTGGAGGAACTGCTGCCTACTCAGAGGCTGTCACTGGTTTTATTTTCCTTTTCCATTAGAAGTGCTGGTCAGGAAGCACAAAACCAAAAAGATTGATAGCAAGCGAGCTGTAACACTTACCGGACAACCCAGTAGTGGAGAAAGGAGGTATTCGGCTGTCGGGCTGCGGACAGCATCGCTGCCGCTGACTGCGCTGCTTCTGCCTGTTGCTCCTTCACTCGGACCACTGTTCCGCGTGGCTGAAACGACGTCTGTGCCGCCGGCTTGCGGTGCTGCATCTCCATCCCCATCACTGGTGGTCACCACATCGCCCGTTCGAGCGGAGTGTGGCCTGTCGGTGTTGGGAGGTTGTTGCTGGTGAGCTCCGCGGGATGGTGCTGGGGGGACGGGTGACGCAGCCGGAGGGCAGGCAGGCTGCTGTGGGGAGCAGCCCAGCACGCTGGGGACCAGCCCTCCCTCCGGGGCTTCCAGGCTTGGCTTGGCTTTGTTGAACTCTGACAACACCCTGGAAACAGAGAAGTGACCAGTTTGAACCTCACTATGTTAACCAGAACCTCTAAAAAACCCCCAGTCGATGCAAATTATAACCACCCAAAAGAAGGGCTCAGCAACACTGCTCATCTCCTGCGGGCTGGCAGCACTCTATGGCTGCCAAAAACCCTCTGGCACCAGCCCTGCTACCAGAAAAATGTGTGGTTTGTGCCCTACAGAGCAACAGTCGACCCCGCTGCAGGTAAGGACCCTACCTGCAAGGGATGTATTTCCTAACTCCGCCCGTTAACGGGGTTTAATTTCCTTCTGATGGACACCTCATAAGGGAGGGAGAGCGCTGGGTGCTCCCCGCAGCCCCAGCCCCACGTATGGCTTCCAGCCACATACCCAGCCATGGACCTAGTGCCAAATCTCAAACGTTTTCATAACCGTTAACAAGCAATTATTAGTGGATCCCAGCCAGATGAGACGCTGTTCCCATGCCCCTGCTTCGCCACCAGCTAGGTTGAATTAAACCAGCCCAAGATTAAAATTCAAAATGACATCTTTCCATCACGAGTTTAATCCAATCAAGGTTCTTCCAGGATCGTCTTAAGATGCAAAGTCCTCAAAGTAGGTAACGACGCCGTTACCGATGCAGAAGGACAGACTGCAGCTCTAAACCACCTCCAAGGCCCTTATGGGGAAGAGGGTGCCTTCACCAACCAGCACCCTGAGGCCAAGCTCCTTCAGAGCCAGGTTTTAAAGGTGGCAGGGAAAATACTTACTGATTACTCAGAGCTTACATAACCCGCTGGAAATCTTTGTGCTGGGTGTTTGGCAGAAATAAATCATGAGGATGACAAACTAACAACCTCCCTCCTCTAAATTATCTGACGAAGCTGCAAATTATAACCCTTTGCTGCGACCAAAGTCATTTCTTTGCCCCTGCAGAAAGCCCCAGAGCATTCCCCAGCGTACGCCAGGGAGATGTGACATTCCTGAAACAGGGCAGCCACATTTTTCTGACGTTTCTGCCCTAGTAAAGAGGACAGACACACACTTCAGTGGCCACGAGCTCATTTGCCGTGGCAGCAGGGTCCCAGCAAGCCACACTGAGCATTTCTTTTTACCTTTCAGGCTCTTTCCAGGAGGAAAAAAATAGCTTGTTCAAGACAAACAGGGGGGAAACCCTAACTGGCTACAGAGACAAAATAAATGAGAACCTAGGAGAGGGTTAAAAATCCCTTTGAAGAGGAGATTTGGGAAAAGACTCACTCTTGCAGCGACCTGTCCAGGTCCTCGGCGGTGGCCGTCCCCAGGTCGGAGTCGCAGGAGAGCGGCTCCTCGCTCCGCTCGGGACTGCGGGCGCAGTGAGCCGGGAGGATGCTGTCAGAGCCCAGGCTGGAGGAGAGCTGGGATGAGCTCGTGGTGTTAAGGCTCAACGAGGACGACGTGAGCTTGATTTTGCTGCTGGCTTTGCCAATGGGTAGGACAGAGGGTTGAATCTCAATCTCATCTGACCCTGATGATTGGGAGATCGAACCCAGTGATGCTTTTCTGTGGGGTTCAGATGTCGAGGACGTGAGGGGCTCCAGCAGCTCCGAAACAGGACACAGACCCGACAGGGACAGAGGGGTGATAGTCCACTCATTCAAAACCGCTGATTTATAGGAGAGCTCGAAGGTTAAGGAAGTTAAGCCCTGCAAGTAGCTAAGGAGAAACTCACACTCTTCGGCATCTAAGAGCAGAGCGGTCGCCTGGTAGTATTCGGGCAGCCGGGACCTCTCCCGCAGGAGCAACTTCAAGTAACACTCCACGAGGCCATCATTCAAAGCCAGCCTCAGCCAGGCTCGGCAGCGGCCAACGTCCGTATTGATGAAGATGAGTTGTTCCAGCTCTGAGACAATATTTCTGAGCAAAGGAGAAAAAGAACAGAATAGGATGTGAGCGGCTCCATTTTCAGTCCATCACGGGGCGCAGGAGGGGCAGATCCTCCATCAGGAACTGCCCAACCTGCTCTGCTGCGGGGATCAGGAATTGGGTTGAAAAATGCTGTGGAAGATCTCTTTCCTCCATGGAAAATGTGGTTTCCCAGGGAGAAAAAAAGAGCTCCTGAACTCCTCAAAGCTAAATGTACTGGTAGCAACCCCAGGCATCCCTGGAGTGCCTCTGAGCGCTCCTCCTCTCCCTGGCTGGAGGCATCTCCCATGCATCGCTTGACCTCAACCAAGGATGCAGAGGGGGAAATTCCCTCTGCCCCTGCACGTTAGCAGGGCTTGCTCTGGCTGGATACTCCTTGGTGACAACCGTGTGTCTAAATCCTAGCTTCAAATTTAAAATCAGTCAAAACACAGTGAAAACTGCTGCGCCAGCCCAAAAAAAAGAGCCGGTCAGATTGCGCTCCTCAAGAAATCTCAGCCTCCTGACTTCCACTGTTCTCCCCTAAAATCCAACAGCGACACCACACTCCCTAATCCTCCCTGGCCCCAGCTCACGTTGGCACTGCAGACGCTACAAAAAACAAAGCAAAAGTTTCGTAAGATTTTTTTTTTTAATCTGTCTCTCAAGAAAGAAGAAAAAAACCTTCAAAGGGCACAAAAATATCCCCCATAGCATACAAAAGAGTTATTTTCATCCACTCTTTCATAATTTAAGAGTCAGTGATGGAGTTGGATGAGGCTTTCAAAACTATTTGTGTGTGGGCTGTTATTTAGTGTGGGAGGACTCTGCTTAGGGAGTGGCTCAGAAAAACCCCAACAAATAATGAAAGTTACCCAGGCAAGACCTCCTCAGACGCTGGTTGGGACGTGGGGAAATGGAGGCCAACCATCCCCAGTAGACCCAGGTCAGAAGTGAGACCAGACCCCCTGTACTGTGCATCCCATAACCCGCCACTGCTGTACGCCAGTGTGGTTGCTGTGGTCCCACTGGGGACATGGAGTCCCCATATAGAGCCTCACACCCAAAAACAAGGAAGAAAGGAGCGCACCCTAAGCTGGCAGCAGTGTTTTGTTCCTGAACTTTTTGGGGACAGTGGAGCACGCCTAAATGGTGCTTTACCCCTTGTGCACGCTGAGAGGGGCTGTGCTGACAGCACCGGGTGCCCAGCCCTGCATCACCTGGCATCGCGGGGGCTTTGCTCTTCTACTTGCATCTCCCAGAGGTCCCAGGCAGCCCCAGCCCCCCCTAGACACCCTCTGAGAGCATTTCTCCCTCTGACCGAAAGGATTGAGCACACGGGACGGGGTACAGACGTATCTTTCCATCGAGCCATCCTCCTGTTCACCATCCCCTGAATTTTATGCCTTTCACACCAAAGAGAGGGGACAAACCTGAGCATGCAAACACCTTTCAGCAGAGACGGGCACTCACCGATGGGTGATGCTCTTCAGCAGACCCCAGAAGACCGGCTGGGGAAGCGGTCCCCGACCCCCTGTTTTCTTCCCTTTCCCCCCGCTCTCTGCCTTTATGTGCTTCTCCTTCAGCCCGTGCACGAAGACAGCTTCCAGGGTGCTGCAGAGGGTGTTTGCATTCCCATCATCGCTGGTAACAACAGCATCCGAGGTCACGTACTGCTTCTGCAGTGCCTTGATGGCGTTCGCCAGTTGCTTCTTGATCAGCTGCAAGACAGGAGGTACAGGTTTGCATTATTAAAAAAAAGTAGGAATTAGGAAAGATTTGGTGAAAAAGGGCTCAAAAACTGCAAGGCTCATCCAGAGTGAAGCACTATGTGACTCCTGCTTCACCCACGTGCTTTGTGGTGGCTGTTAGGGAGCACTACAGCTGAACCAGTCAAGCTGGGGGCTTATGCTCTTGGCATCACTATTCATCTGGCTTTTTTTTTTTTTAAATTAGTAACTTATGCAATTTTATCTGGCATTTTGGGGTCCACCAGGTTGCTGAGGTTGCCTTTAGAGTGTGTGGTGCTTCCTCTGCAGGCACCAAATTACTTAAGAGGATGGGGCGGGGGGGAAGAAAGAAATCAGTTCTTCCCAGGCACTTGCCTCAGGGAAACACAGGGATTAAATAAGCATGGGTGATAAACGAGGAACTCCAAGGAGGGAACCGGTAATAAGGGCTGCGATACCGCTTAACTCGTGCAGATCAGCCCCAGCAGCACGTGACACGCTAATGAGTCCTGCCAGCAGAAATCAAAGCCATCGATCTCACACTCAGCAGCTCGCCTGTGTTGATTGACCCACGGACACTGCTGGGGATGGGCCCGCCCTAAAAAGATGCTTTGGAAGGACGGCTGGGGTTTAGCTGCTGCCTTCAGAGAGCTGCGGTGGGCTCTGACGTGGGAACATGGGAATTTTACCTTCCAGAAGCTTTGCTTCCCTCTTTCTCACACCAGTGGAAAAAAAAAAAGCAAGTTCAGTGAATTTAACAATTTTACACTGGTGGAGCAGCTGAACCCAGATGTCTCAATCAACCGTACTTAAAATGAAAGTTGCACTTCCCAGCAGGCATTTGGCAAACACAGCAAATCCAGCTGGGACCCCATCAAACAATTCATGTTTCGGCATCAGTCGTGCCGCGTTCAAGGCAAATGCTGAACGGCACCAGCCGCTGCGACTGGGGCAGGGCAGATTTTGACTCGAGCCTGGGTTGGCAGCACAAACCCGTATTAAATTTCCAACCCAGGATATTTTTTTCAGTATCTAAATAGGATTTCCAGCAGCTGTAGTTCAAGGACAGCGGCCAGGGGAACAGGCATGTTCTCCCTGCCCTATCAAGGGACGCATTTTGAAGCAGGAGCTTCTGCTAGCACCAGCAACCCACCTGCAAGCAGCGACCATGGGCTAACAGGATTAAAGAGTGCAAATGATTTTATCTTGTCACGCATGAATTAATTCTGCCGTGGGGTGAATTAAACACCCAGTTTTAACCGCCGGGTTTGAACTTTGCTCATTAAACGTGTTTAGACTCCCAAAGCCGGGTAAAAGGAACCCTGAATATACAGAGCAGCGATGCTCCGTCACCCAGGTAGCAGGGCTGAGCACCTTCCCCCGCCCCATGCTGGGGTCTCACCATGAGGGGGAAAGACCCAGGTAGAGTCTGGTGTGATTTAACTCATGGCCACCCTGTTTGCTTTAGCTGCCCCCCACCAGCCAAACCATCAAGGATCCTCTCTGCCAGAAAGCACGAGCCACCCTTCTCCCATATAATCCATCCCAATCCCAGCTGGCAGCACCAACAAGTCCTACCACGACCCTGCTGGTCACTGGAGTTGTGTTGGGGAGTAACTGGAGCTATCTGGGGTGGTTCAGGGCATCTTGCTCACCTGTATGGCTTCCTTGGGGTCATCGGCATGGCTCGAATGCATCTCAGCTGCTGCCGCTCCCCGTGCCGGGCGCTGCCTTCACATGTCACCTTTGGGACAAGGAGGAGGAGCACGTATGAGCACCCATTTGGTTTACATCTCACTCACCTGCCACGCAAAGCACACCCAGCGTCACGCAGGAGGCACGGATCAGGCACTGAGGCATTTTGCAAGTGCTCACAGCCAGACTGCTGCTGGGTTCAAGTTGGGATGGACCCATGGCCACATCAAAACACACTACGCTTCCCAGGGACCAGGAGTTTCAGGCAAAACAGGGTATGGCCAAGAGACCGAGAGGGAGTAATTAACCCTTGCAAGAGGGAGTAATTAATCCTTGCAAGAGGGAGTAATTAACCCCTGCACACTGCCTGCAGGCAGCCCTAAACCTGGGTGAGACGCCGGGCTGGTCAAGCCACCAGCGACACATGCTGGGACTGCATCCCTTCTGTTTCTACATCACCTGCAATGCCCAGGCACCAGCAAGGGCATCAAAATACACACATTTAGCAAGCGAGCCTGAACGCCAGCACCCAAAAACCATGTGAAAGGCGTTAAGGTGGCCCAGCAGACCCTGGGCAGAGGTGACAGCAGCTCATCTCTCTGGTACTGGCTAGAGGATTGATGCTGCTGTCGAACCCAACCGGGATGGACCCTCCTGGAGGTGCCCGGGCGCTCACCCCCAGGGTACAGAGCTGCCTGGGAAGGAAGGATGCAGGTTCTCATTCTCCATCAGGTTTCCAGTTGCTTCATTCAGAGGCAGATGAACCCTGGGAGCGTGGATGTCAGGGCTGCTCTGCTGCAGCTGGTTTTGGTGGGAGAGAGAAAAAAAATCAGTGTCTTCTGCTATGGGAAACCCTGGCAAACGAGAGCCTCTCAGGCAGCGGCAGCCTCGCTGGGGTCATCTGCAACTGCAGGGTGCCTGCAGACAACAAGGGACCTTTGACTTCTGACTTCTGGCCTCCTGCCCTGTTCTTCAGAGCCGTCTGCCGAAACCAAGCTGTGCCTGGAGGCTCTGTGAGCACAGAGCGCGGCTGTCAGCAAGACGCCTGCCGCATGGCTGCATCCCCAGCTCAAGCACAGCGTGTCCTGGTGCTGACAAGGGTCTGAGAGATGCTCCAATACCAGCTACCCATGTAAAGCTTTGTAGGGATGTCAGAGGTTGGAGAAGAAATTTATTCCCTTGAGTTGGAAGACTTGCCATCCCAGTGGAGAAGGACAAGAGCCCAGCAGTTGACAGCAGGGTTTGGGTATGCCCATGGTTCCAAGCCAAGACAAAAACCCCACAGCTTTCCCCCAAGCAGAGCTGACGGCCTCAACCTGCCCCTCTCCCTGCACTGTGAGCCATCAGACCAGGGTCAAAGCATGGTTTGCAGACCAGTGCCTACATGGTCACGGCTGGTCCTGAAGGCAGCGGTGGCCCAAACCCAGAGCAGCCCATATCTGGACCGGCCTAAACCTGGAGCATCCCAAATCCAGAGCATCCCAGACCCGAAACATGCCAAATCCAGAGCGTCCCAGACCTGGAGCCGCCCAAATCCAGAGCACCGCAGACCCGGAGCCGCCCAAATCCAGAGCACCCCAGACCCAGAGCTGCCCATGCACATACCACACCAGCCAGATCTGCTCGGAGCAGCAGGTTGAGAGCTCTTTGGATACAAACCCTGGATCAAGCCTCAGTATTTCCAGGGTTCAGACAATTTCATAGAAAAGGAAACTGTTTTCGCCATGACTTGTCATAAGATTTCCTCTCTTGGGGTTGCAACACAGAAATGGGGGAGTGCAGTGATTACAGGAACCTTAGCCTTGGCTCAGAGGCTCAGGGCACTGCTGGGGGATTTAGGGGGAAGTGAGGGGACATCTAAGTGACAGCAGCGGTCAACAAGGACCACAGAGAGCTGCCTCCATCTCTGCCCTCCGCATGGGAGGTTCAGGCAGCATCAGGCTCCTTGGGGCCGGGCAGCCTCTGCCCCTTTCCCCACCACCTCCTGCAAACACGCAATGCAACCCACCCGAGACAAATTCAGGGTGCAAGAGCTGGGGGCAGAGACCTCAGGATGGGAGAAGCAAGCCAGGGGCACAGGGTGGCATTTCTCACACCCTGAGTGGCAGCGTGGGTGTTTCAGCTCCAGGACTGCGCCTGCTGTCTGTGCTCTCGGTGTCAGCCACCTCGGTGTCCCCAGCCGGTCACGGGGAAGGGAGTTTTTGCAAAGACCTCATCCAGATTTTACTAAGTCAGTGGTATTCCCCCAAAACACGCATTCCTTTGCCAGCATCACCTCTCCCAGCGTCTGCAGGAGGCGAGACGCTGAGGGGGACGCCCATCACCTTCACCATGGGACTCTCCACTCCCACCACGACCAGTCCAACCAGTTTGTTCCAGCGCCGCGAATCCACACGGCACCGCTTCTGTTGGGACAGCATTTTCCTGAATAACAAGTGCAGCGAACCAGCTCCGAGGTGGATTTCACCTAACGCAAGTCTTTGGGGAAACACAGGGAAATGGGACTGGCAGCCCTGGCGCCAGTCTCACCAGCAAGCGAAGGAACTGGAGTGCAGTGAAGCACTTCCAGGCAGATCCTGGAAAGCCACGGCTGTTCATTGTGATCTTGGAAGGATAAGACATAGGACAGATGTGCAAACACAAGAGACAAGCACATCTACAGCAGAAAAAAACCCCACATCTTTTCCCAGCAGTTGCCATGCCGGAGGCTACGCAGGCAGAACACAACAGCTCGAGTAAAACAAAGAAAATAAAACAAGTGAGAAATAAAAACAGCCAGCAAGCTGGCGTGGTTAAACCTACCGAGGAAGGGAGCCGCCAGCGCGAGAGCAGAGCTGTTTATTTACCAAACTGTTGCAAACCAGCCAAATTCTTTGGGAAGGGCTTGTTTGAATCAAGCCTTGTGCCAGGAGAGGCAGAGACCCTGTCCCAGAGCTCAGCTTTTTGGTCTCCCAACAAGTGACGCTCTCAGAGTTATAAATAAACAGCAGGTCACCGCTCACACTTTGCGAACGGAAAACAACAGCCCACAATGACGGCGTGAACCAGTGACTCAAGGCCTGGACGCGGAGCCAGTCATTTTCCAAGCACGAGTGCTGCACCAGTCACCCTCCACCCTGGGGAAACGAGGGCTTTGATGGGACCGTGGGTCCAAGGGCTGCTGTCGGGACAGCCCTCTCCTCCTAAACAGCTTCTGCCTTCCACCCAGAGCCTGTGCACACCCCGCCACGCTTAAAATACAAGCCGATCCCAAGCAGAAGCAGTTTAGGAGCAGGAAAGTCAGCTGGCACAGCCAGAGGCTTGGTTTGTTGCAGGATAAAACCCCTTGGAAATAATTCGGCAAGGGTTAGGGCAGGGTTAGACCCCAGCCCCAGCTCACGGCAGCAGCAGGACCCTCATGGTCTGACTTCAGCTCCTTCTCTGTGCCCAGCCCAGCGCTATTCAGCACCATTGTGATTCCCACTGGCATCGCGTAAGGGACAGGGACCAACACGCCACACTCTTCCCCGTGGAAACGTCCTCCTTGCAGTTGACCAACCTGACGGGGCCGGAGAAGAGTCGCCACTGATGAACCCCTCCAACTTCTGTCCCTGAGGCACCAAGCAGGACGCCCAGGAGGCAAAGCAGCCGCTGAGCTCCCAGCGCCGCCCTCGATGGCAAGACCGTGTTTCTCAGACACTCAAAGGGCAGAATTTCCTTTTAGCCTGTTGTCTGCTCCTGAACCAGGCTACAATTTGCCAGAGCCGCAGGTAAAGCCGGGGTTGACTTTCCCCAGCGTCGCAGCCGACAGAGCCCCCACGCAAGGGCGAAGCGGGTTGTGAAATCCCCAGCGGGTTGCGGCAAGCCGTCCCCGTATTTATGCTCCCGATTTTTGTGTCGGTTTGGATTCCCAGTGCTGGAGTTTCCCAGTTGATTCGGTGGCCATCTGGCAGGGCGGGCAGCTCGCATTCCTCGGCGGGGGGGAACCGGGGGTGGCTGGAAGTAAGGCAACAAGAAACGGGGTCTTGACATTCTGCATTTTCTGGTGGACACAGGAACTACCCAGAGCTCGTTGGCAACCACACGTTTGAAGTGAGAAAACGTCATCGGTAGAGAACGTAACGCGTAATGTAACAGAGAAAGCTGCAAAGATCCGGCACCCGCCGGGATCCCCGCAGGGGCACGGCCGCTCCGGCCTCTCTGTCCCCCGTTATTCGGGGGCCCAGGGGGGCCGAGGGTTTGGGGTGTCAGCGCCGGAGGGAGCAGGGCGAGTGGCAGATAGCAGCACCCCCC